ACAGTAAACGGTTAGACTTACTGAGGAAACTGGGGCAAAATGATACATGGTTAGTGAGACTAGAGGCGAAGGACTGGATTGTGATTCGTTCGCAGGACATACTACTGGGATGATGGGCAGGGCAGTCCCACTGGCCTCCTGCTACTATTTATTGTTCACTGTCCGGTCGAAACCTGAGTGAGACATGGAGATAGGACCCACAACACTTACAAATGTCAAGAAAGCGGTAGGTGAGATGAGGAAGAGCAAACAAGCTAGTACTAAGGTATGTTAAGGACGGTGGTCGACGATTTTTAGCCAAGTTGACTGAAGCTTTAAACACTGTGTGGGAGTCAGATACGATACCCCCTGACGGGTCTCAGTCATCGGTTGTCCCAGTCTTCAAGAAAGGTCAGAAATCCTCTTATGATAACCACAGATGAATCAGCTTGACGAACATAGTGTCTGAGATTCTAAGTTCTGTTACCACTAGACCTTCGAGTGGAACTCGGGAACAGAAAACCAGGCAGGTTTCGGACCTGACTGTTGGTGTATTGACCAGATACTCATATTCTCCTAGATTCTGGAACACAGGCACACTTACCGACACTGGCCTTACATCTCGACATCAAAGCAGCTTTCAACGTCTACACCCATCGTCAAATCGGCAAAAAAGCGGTTGAGCGCGTTGGGCACTTTTCATGCCTGGAGTACCGCACCAGCCCTGGTGGGTCAGTGACTGAATGAATCTCTGCACAGATACAAAAGGTTCCATTGGCTTTTTCCGACTTACACCATTTATGGTACAACCGTAGCATTCGGTTGCCCGTTAAGGGTCAAGTATACTGTGCCGCAGTTTTTAAGGCTGTGAAACACGGCCACTGATGGTATAGGACACGAGAAGGCCTCTGGCGTATGATTACCATTACTTTCGTAGTATAGGCCATATGTTTTGGTACCACCACGTTAGTACTGCAGAATTCAGGTGTAAACTTTCAGGAAGACGAAAGTCAGTTGATGAGGTTGTGGACCTTCATCGACTGAGATGGGTGGGACATTCGTTACAAATACCCAATCACAGTTTGCGTCTCCGTGTAATTTTAGCTGAAGTAGGTCTAGGCTGGAAAAACGTTCGGGCCAACCAAACTAAAATATGGTACCAGTGCAAGACGTCTTGGACTGATCGGTGGAGGGAACGCAGACTTCCCGATTAGGATCCGCGTTACAACAGAAACCAGTGGTTGAAGACTCCTGATGACAGGGTTCAGAATTGATCTCAGTGGCCCAGATGTATCCCCAAATTATTTCAATCGCTATACTAAATTCAGCAGTTTCTCATTCATCTCAATTACTTCTTTCCACTGTTTTCAACCGATTTTGGTTACTCTTTTCATCTTTCCGTTCATCGCTTTCTTACTTGATGTGCTGATATTAGTTGTGGCAATTTGGACCGTTACAAAGTAATGCTTGGTCCTTTGTTACTAATGGTGACGATAGCTGCTACCTTGAAATCGTGGTCTCACTGGCGTACCAGTAACGCAATCAGCTACACTGGTTGGAATGCTTTTTCCATATCAGATGGGTCTGTTGGATAGTTGTGAAACAAAAGTTACCGTTATGAGGCAAAATGACAAATTATATGCCGGTTTGAGGCCGAAGTTTTACAGCTGGATGGACGGAATGTGAAGGCAATTTCTCACGCATAACCAGCACATGCTTTCCTGTGAGGTGTTATAGAATGCTGGCCCTAGAAAGAGCACACTGCTCCCTATCCCGCAGTCCTCCGGTGCCGATGATATGGGTTCCACCTATCCGGAACTAAAACAATCTAATACCAAAGCAACAATCTTAACGGGCGTGTGTCAGGCCTCAAGATGTCTCATGATCCCTGAAGTTACAAATCTTTTCGTTTTTATCTTTCAGGTACTCTTCAGAATTATTTCACGGTTTGGGCAGCCGTGAAACGCCGACCGCAAGCCCACCGCCAGTAGCCTGCAAAACCCAATAAAACAACACAACTTTTGATTTCTCCCTTGCCTTCACTTCGAGATACGAAGACTAAGCCTAATAGAACTTCATCAACCTCTCACTCTGAAGTCTCCTAAAACTCAGCTGTCGGCTTCACATTGGAGCTTTAAACGTCCGAACCTTATGCCAAATCGGACAGCAGGCATCTCTTATCGAGATTCTAGAATCGCGAGCCATGAATGTATGCTGTATTTCTGAGACACGTATAAACGACCCGACTGTAGAGATTTACTTAATCTCACCTGGCCAATTTTGTGAGTCTTCAAAACTCACCTGATGAGTGTCCAGAGATTCGGTGGCTAGCTCTCGTGACTCTCCGGTGTAGGCTTAGCACTTAGTTCTCGAGTAGAAAGCAGACTTCTTGATTGGATACTAATCAACAACACCTGCCTGCTACCCAACTGAATGGATCTGTAAAAACTTGGGAGGATCGTGAGACTAATCGATACCTGTTGATAATCTCCACCTGCGCCCCCCACCGACTGCTGTTCGGATGGTGCAAAAGATGAACTTAAATCAAAACCTGTCAATTTCGCTACATAATGCAAAACGTTTAGAAATAGTCAGTTACAGGCGACTTCAAAGTCCAAGTAGGAAAGCCGAGCCAATCGGTAAAATGATCTTTGGGATATCTACAGTATTCTACACCAACGGACCAAAAAGCCTGGTCCTCTCTTACAACTTTGTTGACAAGCATTTGCTTCTAACCAGCACTAACTTCAAGCATTAGGAGATACACTGTCTCACTTGGTATCATCAAACCAGCAGTGGACACACATAGACCATACTGCTATATGCCAAAGTCGGAAAGGGTCGGTGGAGGATTGCTACTGTTTTTGGAGTAGCTGCTTAAAAACTTACTTGATAGTACGGTTCGTGTATGCTTAAGCTTTAACAGACGTAGGAAACAGAAAGCAGTGAAGTTTCTATGCACTAGACTGGAAGATAAGAACATTAAGTGTGTATTTAGGGGAGAGGGAAGTAACTAAGCCTTTGTGTAAACATGGCAGCAAATCCCTTGCTGATGAATACTGGTGTAATATTCAGTGCGTTGTAGAAACAGCAATAAAGACAGTTGCTAACTTACATCTGAAGGTTAGAAAAATCCAGTGGATTTCCTCAATCTGGTCCGAACTGATGGATGCCAGAATACTCATTCCAACTGACTCTGACCTCGCAATGATTGCGAGAAATGGCGGGTGGCAAAAGTGAGGGAGATGGCGAAGACGTCAGTATTAGGCAGTACCCGGCAATTATTTAGGCTGATTAAGGAGGAAGGCAAGAAGACGATGGTTAGCAAAATCACCACCGAGAAGAATGTTAACCTGATGATATCTCAGGACAAACAGCTAGAACACTGGCCAGAACTCTTCAAAACATAGTTCAAATGGCCCACAGCAGCGCTTCAGTTGCCCAGTATCCAGCCCGGACCTGAATGGTACGTAGATATTGGTCCTCGAAATCTGCTGGAAGTCGTCAAGGCTGTTTTAACTCTGAAATAGTGCAGTGTAGCGGGGCCTGACAGTGTGCCACAGGTTCTTAAGGACGAAGGTAGAAAATTATTGAGGGAAGTAACGGAAAAACTAAGCAGCGTGTTGAAGTAAGAGGTAATTCCATCAGACTGATCTACTTCACTGACCATTCACGTTCATAAAGAGGGAGAGTCCTTTGTGACAACTACGAGCGATTCAGATTCATTAACATTGTGTCAAAAATCCTAGTTTTCAGCTATGCGATATCTAAGTGGAGCATGAGAGCAGTGAACTCAATAAAACGGAGCAAGAAAGAGTGAATCAGTTGAATTTTCACTCTTCAACTGGTTCTCGAACACATGCATGTGTAACCACATTCGACATCTGCCATATTTTCTGACCTGAATGCAGTATTCGACTCTGTGAACCAAGACGTGCTGTGTCAGTTTTTAACTGTGAACACAGATAGGATGTTACGTTAATCAAAACTCTACTCGAATTTACACAGCCAAATAACTGCTCATAGAGATTTGTCACCTGAAAAACGACTACCAGTGTTCACCAGGAATACCTCATACATTCGCTTCTGTTTAACTTCCTTAGATAAACGCTAACTGATACAACCATTGGTACCTATGAGTTTACAGGGAATAATCTACCCCAAGACCGACGATACTGTTTTGTCAGAGGAAGACAATGACAAAATGCAAGGTCTCTTAAACACCTTGAGCACAAGTCTGACTATACTTGGCATGCATCTTGCACACGTCAAGTGAAGATGATTCTTCCCAACGGCTCTGTTGACACCCCCAGTTCAGAGTCAGGGAGTGAAATGGTAGAATGCATCAACCACTTCACTTACTCGGGGAGTCGTATGAGCCCGAATGGGTTAGTCCTTGACAAAATCTCGGCCTGAACATATAAGGCCCACTTGGCATTTGTAAACTTACGTTATCTCCGGCACCGCCGAGATGTCCAACTATCTGTCAGAAATGAATATACTGAGGTGCAGTCCGCTTTTTATTATACGGGTGTGAGGAAATAGCAGATGAAAGTAGAAAGAACGGAGAGATTGCAGGTCTCTAATCACTGGTATCTTCGAAACGTTTCTCACGAATGATCAAACTCATGCGTCGGTAACGTCGAGATTGGCGAAGGGTACTATATACAGATATGGAACGCAATCTCGTCGATGCGCTTGTGAACTTTCACTGACTGGGGTGGTTTGGGCATGTGCTGCGCATGCTGAGCCACCACCTACCTCGATATACAATGTTAACCGAAGCAGGACTGCGTTGGGGCAAAGCTCAGAGACCATGACGTAGCACCAGTCGACTGTTAGTCCCAACTGTGTAGTCAGGTGTAGACTGTTTAGTTGGGGTCACGATACGAAAAAGAACTAGTGGCTGGAAACACTTAGTAACATGGTTGGAACCCAGTCTAAAGTGTAGACGTATTCACATCTCGTAAAGCTACAACACTTTCACTAACCTTGAATTGTGGATTCTTTCTTTTACCACCCACCTTTTTCTACCTTACTACCAGTTTTTCTACCAACTTATCTTTAGGGTATATATATGCATACATATACGTAATGGTGGTGGTTAATGAGATCAAATTAATCATAAAACAGCTTGATACATACAGAATATTTAGAGAACAATCTAAGCACATTATAAGATGAGGCTTCTTAATAATTACATTTGGTCCACTACATAAAAAACATATATACTGTAAAATATTTATTGAGTAGTTACTACTTCTGAGTCTATTCATGCATAGAACAATGTTCTGAGAGATCATACAGCTGCAGCTCCAGATATAATTTCCGTAAGCTCACGTGTGATGGCTGCCTGACGCGTTCGGTTGTATGTAAGTGTCAGTCTCTCGATCATTTCACCTACATTGAATGCGAAAAGAAATGAGTTACGTACCCGCATTTTTCGTAGCAGAATCCATAGCAGTCATTCGAGCTGACTGTTCACTAGCAGTGGCTTCCTTTAGGGCGGAGAATATCAGAGAGGTTAGAAGAAACTCGTTATAGTGTTTCAAAATTTCAGTGTCTACCGAATCATATATAGTAATATTCGGAGATGAGGATAAACCCTCCAGACTCAACATTGTTTGCTGCGTTGGTGTGTAAGAAACAACTGTCCTAAAGTATTTATTAGAAAGCAAACACTATAATCACCTGAATGTGTTGTAAAACATAACAGCCTTGCTAAACTTGAAGTCAGTTGACAGTATGGCTTGCGCTATTGCCGAGGCGTCCTCAAAAGTTGGTGCCTTTCTACCAACCTCGTTGACTGTCATCAAGAACATGTCACGATATTGACGGAACATGAGTGCACGGGACTTGTCTCCTATTAGGACTAATTTGCAAGACTTTTCTAATTCAGGATTACTACGCAGGAGAGCTCTTATTGCCTACAAATTATGACTGACTAAATATCACCTTACTTTCACGACGCTGCTATTGGCTGCACCGCATAGACCGCGGTCAGAAGTGATAGCAATTATCAAATCATTTGCACCAAGCACAGTTTTATCTGTCGTCAACTCTGCAGTAGTGTAAAAGGCTGTCAGGACTGTTTCCAGAAATTATTTGTTAGTACCTCTTGCACCCTGACCGTACGGTCTTGCAGGTCTCAAGTCACGTTCAGCTCTAGCAAACTTCGCGGCAGAAACCATTTTCATAGACGCAGTGATTTTTTGTATGTTTTTAACAGACTTTAATCTTACTGAAATATCCTTCAACGTGGCCATAGAACAAGACTTCTGGCCTAAAAAGGGTTGAACGCATTTTGACACAAATAGCATTGCGCCAAACGAAAAATGTAGTGACCTTCATAGTAGTCAGGTTGTTCAAAGCACTGAAACAGCTCATTTATCTGATTCCTGGATTATGCATCTTGTGCTGACGTTTATTCATTTATCATAGCTTTCTAAGTTTACGTTAACCTAATGAATGTCTTAAATGATGATGAAAACTTAAAGGATGTCTCTTCCATGGATCGGTACTTTGGTATTCTAACTATTATTCTGATGGTTCAAATGGTTGTTGATGAAGTAGAGGAAGCTTTCACTTAATTGGCTTCCGCGTCTACAATCCGTGGATCACTACGCCCTGTGGTTGTTAACCTGTGGGCAAGTAAAGAAAGAGGAAAAATTGGTGATTATGATGTGGAAATTAAATTGGTTCTGGGCAGATCCTGGTCACACTTCAAGTGGGTATGCAGCCGGCGTTTATGGGATTCAGACAAAGTAGACTGGATCACATCTTCAGGAAGAGCGTTTTAGGGTTTTACAACCCTTAGGGAATAGAAGTTGTGCGTTACATCTAACCTGCTTTGTTCCTGGCTTAGTTTCTGTGCGTATCCTTTAAGATTAGCGCCCCAGCTAAGATTTAATAAGTGACAAGGTGGGTGGCCAGGAGTGGTCAGAATGTTATAGGTCATTTTCAAGTCATCTCTTTGCCTTCTGTATTCCAGAGGATACAGATCCAGTGCAATCGGTCGTTCTTCGTGTCTTCAACCTAAGCCCAGGAACAGATTTTGTTGAACGCCATGTTCTAGAGATGAGGGGAAAAGACGATGATTCCGAACTCCATGTGAGGCCGTAAGAAGCTGTTGAGAATTTGATGGAAGCGTCCACGGTCGGGTTGTCCGAAAATCTGTCTAAGAGTTACCAACACCGAGTTCCCACGAAATGCTTTCTGTTACAATTTGTACAAGATTTTGAGTCTTGAGGGACTAAAACACCCAAATCCTTCTCCGTCAGTGACGCTTCAAGTTCCATGCTATTGAGGTTATATACAGGAAATGCACCATGTTTTACGTGCACCACCTTGCACTTCTCAAGATTTAACGCAAGCTCGTTGTTGACTGCCCAGGTGTGAAGTCGAGTCAAGTCTTCCTGTAAAGAAACACTGTCTTCTCCGCCTTTGATTTCTCTCCAGAGTTTCACGTCATAGACAAAAAGAGGGATTTTGGAAAGGGCCTGTTCAGGCAAGTCCTTTACGTATATTAGAAGAAGAAGAGACCCTAGTACTGAACCTTGAGAAACACCACCAGGACATTCTGTTTCTTCAGACACAGGGAAACTCACCCGAACTCTAAATGAGCGGCCTCGTGTATATGAAAACAACCAGTCAATGAGCGGAGGTCGAACTCCAACTAATTTCAATTTATTGATAAGACAGTCGTGATTAACACGATCAAACGCCTCAGCAAAGTCTAGATAGGTAACATCAATTCGTCCTCGACGGTCAACAATATTAGTCCACCTATATACTGCAGTGAGCAAATTGGTAATGCAGGAGTACCCCTTTCGAAATCCATGTTGTGACAACAGGCCGGGTTCACCTACACTCAGTGAAGGCTTCGAGATTAAAATATGGAAGAAAGATAGGGTCCCAAATTACTCCTCAGAAGCATCTACATCAAACTGTGTCCATTTCCTCCTTGCGACACAACTGAAAAACTGAATATCCCCAGTTGTTCTTCACGCGTTCAGTCACTAGCCATTGTGATGTTTGTCACTTCTAGCATCTGAACTTCCTCTGAAATTTCATAATTACCTTTCAAGCAAGTGCTTGCTTAATGTGGATACCTCCCCAACTTGGATCTTGTAAAGGCCTCGGATAAAACAGAGAAAACATAGCTTTTGATCCCAAGATCAGCTTCACACTATCCAAAGTGTCACGAAGCTCTGGGTCTTGGTTGATTGACAGTGTATTTTGGTCTTATCTCGTAGCTTGGCACATCATGTGGTTAGAACTTGCGAGTCTCAGTAACCTCATAATTGCTGCACTCCAAGTGCCTTATTTTCATCACTTTACACGTGCCAAGAGACATTTAATCTTTCCTCACCAGGGCTAATGGAGCACTGACATGTGCTTAAAGGCACAAATTATCGTCATCTCTTGATTCTTGACATATCTCCACCCTAGTGGACAGAACAGCTAGTGTCTCTTGACTCAGAAGAGGAACTGCATATGATCTTAAACTGTGCTTGTTGCATCCTTACAGGTACTAACTCCTAGGAAATTGTTTTAAACCGACCTTCATTCCCCGTTTGCTACCTGAAAGTAACGTTCGTACCCACGCAAACAGACTGTTGTTGATTTCAGAACCAGTAAGTTTTGTCAACAACCTGAATTTAGGTACCTTTCAGTACGTTACTTATGTCATTGTCAGCATCCAAACCTTTACCGCCGCCTATGATCTCCCACTCGCCTCTGCTATGGTAGGGCTTTCTAAACGGGAGGAACTTCAGATGAAGCTATGCTGTGAGCTTAGTAGTGGGCACTTGCTTCTAAAAAGGGTCCCTAATGGCTTTCTAGATTATTCTTTCTGAGACTTAAACAACCACACTACCCATGCTCGTCGGTTCGTGATCTGATGATCGATGAATAGAGTCTGCACTTCTGAAAAATTTGATTCTAACATCGTCTTGGCTGTAAGTTGCTACACATTCATAGAAAGGGCTTCACAGAAATGATGGTCTCAGCGTTCGGTGTAACCATTGTAAGAAGGTTTTGGTGCAGCCCACCTATATCATTTCCTTCCCTCACTTTTTAGAGTACTTGTAGTGATGATAATACCAGCATTTATTTCACTTGGCTAGATGTACTTGAATATGTGCCTTTTTTACAGGTATGATCTTCCTTGCGATCCGGGGTTATGAACTAAAAAGCACTGATTGTCCTGATTCGATCTCTACCTTACTTTTGGGATGTCCACGGATATGAAGCGAATGTATTTTTCCTTTTCATTTCATGCGATGTTATCTCAATGTTAGGTGGCCCCTCCGACTTTTGACCTTGTTAGTAAGAAGGCTCGTGGAGTAGTACCAACCGTCCTGATTTTGTATTTATAAGCAGTAAGAGAGCCTAGCCCAGTTTACCAGTCCATTAGTTTACTAGCCTGTCCCGAGCCAGGTTAAAAGAAGGGAGGTTGGGCACGGGGCCAGCAACCCCACCCCATAAGACCAATTCAACCTATAAGGAAAATTCAAAACACAAAAAAATGCAAAAAACAAGCTTATTCCTTGCTGGAATCGTGGAGACGAAATGACGCCGGTTAGTGAAGGCCTTCCGGAAGACGATTGCCCGATACGCCTTCCACTCTCTCGATAAAAGCGAAAGTAAACACGGAGACATGGAGTGTCCGCACCATGTATGAACCTATCAAGGCTGCTCGGATTGCCAAAAAGATGAGAAGGTGCGGCACAGAAGTGTTTGGAATCTGCGAGACCAAATGGAATGGAAGTGGAATCTCCAAACTGTTAACTGGAGAGTCAATAATCTACACCAACATCGTCACCCAGACGACAACCACGAGCATACTGGGTTTTGGAGTGGCTATCATGATGTCCCCAAGAGTATCGAAGGCCCTCATACAGTGGAAACCAGTCTCCTCCAGGATCACGATCATGACAGCAAGATTCAACTCAAACGGAGCGAAAGTCACAATCATACAATGCTACGCTATGCACCTATAAATAATTCGGATCAAGAGGAGGAGGAATTCTATGGACAACTGCAATTAGTACTGGACAAAACTCCAGTTAGCGACATAAAAATTCATTCTAATGGGTGGGGTGACATGAATGTCAAACTGGATGACGACAATACAGGGAGAGAACTCATCGTGGGTCGAGAAGCACTCGGTGAAATGAATGCGAATGGAGAACTGTTTGCAGATTTCTGCGCATTCAACGAATTGGTACAAACACAAAGATATTCACAAAGTGATATAGGTTTTACCCGATGGACACACTAAAACTCAGATCAACTTCCTCTCAATGGGAAGAAAGCGGAGACACGGTCAGCTTACCGGGCACAAGATCAGCTGAAGAAGAGGAGCAGACCACTATCTAATGCAGGAACCTGCATTCAAAATCAAGTTGAAAGCCTCCACAGAAGCTGGTGATAGACCACGGTTCAGGTTCAACACCCAGAACAGGAACTGAAGGACGAAACCACAAAGAACATCTTCACGTCAGCCATCAGGACGAAATAGGAGGCATTGAGCAACGTCCCTGGAGAAACCTTCGTGGAAGAACACTGGAGCTCTTTGAAGGAGGTGTGTAAAGAAACCTGTATGACCGCATTAAAGGGGGAAAAAAGCAGGACAGGGAATGGATCTGGACGGACACGTGGAAACTGATAGAGGAGGGCGAGGAAGATGTGAAGCAGAGGATGAACCAGTGTATGGATGAACAATGAAAAGAGGAACTGAACACAACCTACAAAACACTAAGTTGGACGAAGAAGTGAAGAAGAGTGAGCGCAAAGACAGAAGGTACTTCGACGACACATTGGAAAGTGAAGCAGAACAGGCTGTAGGTAGGAGAGATAGAGACCTGACAACACTACATCAAATAACCTGATTACTATCTGGGAAGAGGTCAACGCGGACGAAACCGATGAAAGATAGTGAAGGAAGGCCGGTTATCAAAGAAGAGAAACAAGGGAAACAATGGGCTGACCAGTTCAAAAACTCTTCGACCGGCCACAACAGCTACTTGCTACCCGCCAGAAGTACCGCCAGCAGTGACAGGACTACCAGTGAACGCAGGCCCTCGACAGAGGCGGAAGTGAAGTCCTGGACTCCATAAAGACAGTGAAATCCGGGAAAGTGGCAGGAACAGATGGAACTCCTCTTCCTGAAGCCAGGCAGCTGGTTCCGGTCGTAATTTTGAATCCAGCGCATCCGTTTGTCTCTCCAGGATGATGAGGCTTAATATCTTGCATGCGGTTACCGGGACAACAGCATGATCCCTCGCCAGTCCTCGCAAAGACTTATGTCTCCCTTCTTTGGAAGTTTGACAAGGTAG